TCATATTAAATCTTTGCTCTATTTTATTTCTTATTTCTTTTTCTTTTCTTTTGTGTTTTTTTTCTTTTGCTTTTTTCCTTAAGATCTTTCCCCAATTTCTGAGTTCGTTTATTTCTATTTGGCTCTAATATTCTGTCATTTGTGAGATTTGCATTTGATATGTTTGGTTTATATTTTCAAATTGTATATCAAAATTTTTCTTGTCATCACTACTTATTTTTTCCCCATAATGTATATAACTTTTCTTTTGTAAATGGTATAAGAATTTGACCTCTTTGTAAATATTGAAGCTGGAAACTGATATTTTTTTCTGGATCTTGGTTTTTTGAATATTGATTGATAGTATGTGTTTCATTGCTGCTTTCATAATTGTATTACTTAAAATGTTCTATTCTATATTAATATCTTTGTTGCAGCAATACAGAAGCTTGTGGGGTCTCTTGTGCACTTTTTCCCTTATTAGATTTTCGATGTACTCGCTATACAAATCCCAGTTCTCTTTTGTGGCTTTGTGGTAAAGAAAAACTCTTCTTGTTGGCTTTCTTTTGCCTTTTCTGTTTCTAAATTTGCTATAATTTAGTATATCACTAGTTTCAATTTTGGACCATATAAGCTTGTGATCACTTCTAGTGATTAAGTTTATATCTTCAATTGCAGCTTCAAATAGTAAGTTACTCATTTCTTCAACTATCCATATGTAATCTATTCAGGATACACAATTATCTCATTGCCAGATATACTCCTTTTTGTGTGGATAGAGATAACAAAAAGTGTCTATCAATTCCCTATTTTTAAGCCACTCTAGTATAGTTTTTCCAAGCTTCTGATTTTTACGATTTTTGTTATTTTGTGTTCAGGTTTGTATTACTTAATGCATTAAAGTCCTCTATCACGCAGACATATGTGTTGATCTTGTTACTACAAATCTCTCATATTATTGTCTGTTGAATCTCTTTGTTAATTTTTTTGTCTGCTAGTGATAAGTAAGCTACCTATATTTGTATGACTACTTTTTTAAAAAAAAATTCTATTTTGATTAAATATGGGTTGTATTTAACCACTCTACCTATATGTTTTGCTCAGTGATCATTTATGAGTATGCCTACTCCTAAACCTTTAGTTTTGTCACATTTACTAATTTCTCCTCACAGTTGTAATATTGGACCAATCAGAATACAATATTAGGTGTAACGTGACAATCAAAACAGCAATTGCTTTTTTTTGAAAAGTAATACTTATCACAAAACTTCGCCTAAGAAATCACCTTTTATATACTAACAAAAAAATTCTTTGCAAAATTTTAGATAATATTACCTACTAACTCTAATCTCAAATCTAAACTAAGATGTCACATTTTGTTTAGAAGGTGATATATAAATTTGTACGAATAATCCCAACCAATCACAACTGTAGGGAGAAATTAGTAAATGCAGGTTTGTCTACTTCTTTTGATAACCAGAAACTAACGTAGCTATGTTGTCTTGTATCTAACCATTTCTCTTCTTTCTCACTTATATTTGTTTTTGCTATACCCAATATGTTCAAACTTTTTCCTTTATCTATATCTGCAAGTGCAACTAACTTATGCTCATTTAATTTAAGTCTATTAATATTATGAAAACCTATTTTCAATGATTCGAAATTGTTTTTGCTCAAAAAATCCTCACTTTGTTTTAATTTATTTATATTATGTAAGGCATCAGTGAGGCCATTTGCCTTACCCTTATTTTTTGATTTGCCTGGGGCAAAATTTAGATATGATGAGCTAGCAACAGCTCAATTGTTCTAAATTTTTCTTGTATATCAGCAAACAATTGTTCAAAATTAGGTTCTGTTGAAGACTCTCTTTGTTTTTCTTTTCTTATACCTAGCTCCTCTTTATTAGATCCTGTTGCGCATGTGTTTTTCAAAACCTAATTGGCTCTTTGATTATCAGTTTTGTTATTTTCTACAACTTTTAGTAGTTTTCTGGTGGTACTACGTGATCTGAAGCTACTTTGTTCCTGGCTAGAAGTATTGTAGTTTTCTTTGTTACTATCATAGGTGGGTTTATTTGTTTTGCTTAAAACTCTTGTATGATTGGCTTTGTTGAATAAATTCTGTTTTTTCCGAGGCTCCATTTCATGTGCTACTCCTTTTCTTTTGCTAGGATATACTGATTTCATTTCACTATGACGATATACATATGTAAAGCTTCTGTTTACAGAATTTTCAAAGTGAGAGTACCACTCTAGTTTGGTGTTGAAGTAATATATATTTGTCTTTTGGGCTTCTAGCTTGTCCTGCTCAAACTTAAAATAGATATATGCTCTTCTAGCCCGGTTGCCATTGCTATTTTTAAGAATGTAAACAGCTTGTACTTTGTGTTTTTTAAGTTGATAGAAAAGAAGACTATCTACTGCTTTTGTAAAAATATTGCGTATTGTAGATCTAAAGATATTTCTACTTTCTAACTCCATAATATCAAATTCACCTGGGTCATTCTATATATTTTTCCATAGTCTAGAGTAATTGACTAATGTTCTTTAAGCGAGGTTTCATATTTTTCTGTTTTGGTTAAAATTTAGATATATGCTGCTTTTGTTATAAAATTCAGTTGCCACCTAATAATACTAGCTTCTTCAAAATATTCTAAATATTTTTTAATTTCATATCCACTCATTTCTTTTGGAAAATCCTATATAGTAAATAGGTATGGTGGTTTCTTCAAGTTATTTTGTATAAAAGATTGTGCTTTTGGTGCCCATGCTAAGCTATATATGTCTTTGTTTAAAATATTGTTTTTATTGGCTTTGCCACTTGGTACCTAGGTTGAGTTGAAAATGTTTTCGTACTTTTTGGCTTTTTTGTTGCTTTTATTTATTATTTGCTCATTAACAAATATATCATTTTTTTCAAAAGATTCTAAGATTTCATAATCTAATATGCCAAGTCTTCATTCAACAATATATCTTTTTTTGTTTCTGTTGTAATTTTAGCTATGTCAATTGTGATTTCTTGCTTTGCGTAATTTCTCTTTTGGATGTTAGTTTGTTTATCAATTTGCATGTTGTTATCTATAGTTTCTAATGTAGCTTCTTCTGTAATCTCCATGTTGTAGTAATTTTCTTTTGGAACAGAGCAGTGTGACAATAAAGGGTTTGTCCAAAGTTCAAGCAAGATTTTTTCCTCTTTTTCTAATTCTTGTTCTCTCATCTTTTTATATTGGGCCTACTTGTAATGACAAAGCACATTGCGAATAATTGCAATGAGGTAGATCTCACTAGTACCTAAATAGCTTGCAACTACTTTATCCTCTTCCTAGATAAAACTGTTTTGTTTTTCCTGTATTGATGCTCTTTCCTCTTATGATTTGTTAAAGAAATTTTTGTAATCTGGAAGTTCTAATATTTTACGTGTTTTGTTTATTCGTTCTAATTTTGCTACATATTTGTTTGTTGTTTTAGTGTTGATTTAATATCTAATTGTTGTTTTATCTAATTTGGCTAACTATTTACTCCTTACGCATTTTGTTTGTTAGTTGTGTTATTGATTTGCAAAATAATATACAAGCCAAATCCCAAAAAAATTTTTTTTAAAATTTTTTAAAAATTTGTCGAAATTTAAATTTTCTCTGTATACTGCAAGAGGAGTACTATTTGTGACTAGACTGTTTTAGTAAACTATATTTAATTTCACTTGCTTAGTCTTTTTCTTTAAGAGTATTTTGGATGTTTTCTTAGTAGAATTTTGTTCTAGTGATTGAAGTTCCTTAGCTCCAGTTTTGGTTAGAGTAATTGTCAGAAAGAGTTTATGGTGAAAAAAAAAAAACAAACTTTTTCTCATATTGATTGTTAAAAAAGTTATTGTATTTTTATTCATTATTAAAATATTGTTTGTTTTTAAAAAATTTCCAATGACCTTTTAAAAATTCTCTTATATTATTAAAATTTGTAAAATCATTGTTATAAATGACTTAATTAGAACTTAAAAAAAGATTTTTAGAAATGCTTTTAATTCAAAATTATTAGAAATTAATGGGTTATTAGAATTGTATAAATATTTATATTGTCAAATTCTTATTATTTAAATTTATTTAGGCTACACAAACTTATACTATTGGTTTGGCAGTTGGGTTTTGAAATTTTAAATATATTAGCCAATAGAAATTCTCTATTTATAATCATGTGAACAAAGTGAATTTTTATTTTATATGAGTAAAACCAGAAATGTATTGTCGATCAGTGTTCTAGTAGTTTTGGTAACACAATAATGATCTTATCAGAACACCACTTTACAGAAAATATAAAAAAAAAAAAAAATTATTATTATATATTTAGAGAATTGTTAATGCCACACATTTTTGTTAATGCCACTCTTAAAATTTAAAAATGTGCTTCGAAAAAGATATTTGTATTAAGTACCATATTTTTTGGCAAATAGTACCTCCTTTTTAGTATACACCTATGATTTGTACCTGGAACTAATTAAACATGTATTGCAAACAAGATTGTAAAAGATCCAGGTATATATCTAAACATATATTGATTGGTTAAAGCTTTCGAGACTCTGGTTGGCTGGTTTCAATTTATATATTTACTATACGTACACTTTAATTTTATAGTTGAACTACTGTAAGTGCATATTTCTTCTTTATAATGTGTATACTATTCGATTGTCTAATATAATTTATAAACATACTTAAGTGCACTTGACGTACTACAGTATATAAAGAATTGACACATTTAAAATTGTGATGTTTTACTGATATTGATATTTAAATAGTAAAAAAATTAAATAATTTGAAGTTAAATTTATAAAGCTTTTTTCAATTTAAAGCAAGTTTAACTGTATTTATTATAATAGCATTGTATTTTTTAAAAAAAGTTATATGAGATTAATTTCCAAAATTCTTATAAAAGGAACTCAAATAATCAATGAAGTTTTTTAAAGCCAGGAATTAGAATAATTTTCTACTTCAGAATTATTATAACACTTATTAAAATTTTTATCACTAAAATCTAGAATAGGATTGTTTTTACAAAAAAATTGACTAGACCTTTCATTATCATCACAAATTTCAAAAATTCATCTAACTCTTCATAGTCTTTATTCGATTCATTTAACTTTTCATAGTCTTTATCCAATTCATTTGACTCTTTATTGTTTCTATTTAATTCATTTAACTCTTCACAGCTTCCACTTGATTCGTTTAACTCTTTACAGCTTCCACTTGATTCGTTTGACTCTTTATAGCTTCCACTTAATTCATTTGAATATTCACAATTTATAACCAATTTGTTTGGATCTTCACAATTTATAATTGATTCGTTTAAATCTTCACAATTTCTAACTGATTCACTAGAACCTTCATAATTCCCAACTGATTTACCAAAACCTTTATAATTCCCAACTGATTCGTTAGACCTTTTATTATTTTCATCTTCAACGATAATATGCAGCATAGAATTGTCCCTTGTTACAAAATCATAATCAAAAATTTGTTTGTTTTCAGTACCATTTCAATTGTTAAAGATTCTACAACATTTAAATGAATATCAGATAAGTGCTAGATCTATATCATCTCATGTTTGTTGAATCTACTGAGCAACAATGTTGTAAGCAGGCTTTTGAAATTGTCCTGTAGGCATTAGCTTTTTAATTTCCTCAGCCATCCACTTATTATAATAATTATGAACCTATATATGTATTAAGTAATTTATACTTTAATTGTAAGAATAAAAAAAAAAATTTTAAATGAATTTCTAGATTTTTATTTTATTATTTATTCAAAAAATTATATAGTATGTACTATTCCTTTAATAATAGTTAGTTTCAAATTCCATTGCCAATTTTAAATTATCATATTTTATAGTCAGAAAATACAACATTTCCTAATAAAATCTCCTATATAATCATTCTCAAATAAGTATAAATATTTGATGATTTAGTGAATATACCTTATCTTTAAAAGGGTTATTTATAGCTATGTCTAACAGTTGTAATCGAGATGTTAATCTACTAGGAATTACTGCCAAGTCAGTATTTTTTTCTTTAAATCGTCAATTAACTGAGTCTACAAGATAACTAGTAAATAAATCAAGCACCAACAAAGAACATAGATTAACAGAAAGAGGTGCACGACAATTCTATACATTCTTGATCCAAAATAATATTTTCTTAGTATTTATCCAGCTTTTGAATTAGCCCTAATTTTTATACCCCTTGGAAAGCTAAATCATAGTATATTTTTAAGTTTGAAAATAATTAATAGTGACAACTTAGAACTATCAAGCATACAACTAAGAACAACTATAAAATTTGACTTTTTGTATCTACATGTTTTGATATTAATACTATGAGCCCTGGTTTCATCAATTGTATAGTTGTTTGGCAAGTCAAAAGAAAGTGGTATTTCATCCATATTGCCTATTAGCTTTAAAGGATAGTTATATTTCATTTGTTGAAAAAGAACCAAACTTAAAAATTCCTGTTGCTTTTTACTGTAATCTTAATGTAAATGTTGTAAAATAGTGGTATAGTATCAATTGCTCAAATGATGATAGTTTATAAACCCATATAATCATTTATAGCTTCATTGAAATGTTGAAATATCAGAATAAATTAATAAAAACTATTGTGTTTGTGCCAAAGTTTTTGCTCTAACTTGAACTATATGATGTGTAACTATCTTAAGTTCAGCTTGCAATGTATGTACCTAGTTAATTAGTTCAACTTCTAGTTCAGGATACTTCAGGCAAAAGCCAGTATTTAGCTAACAAACATGTGAACATACAAGTATTAATTTATTTTTTTTTGATTGCCAATTACAAAACTGTTTTGGTTTAATTCCAAACTCAAGTAAAGTTTTGTGAATACTTGCTTATATCTTTTCTTGGTAGGTTATTATTACAAGTTTCTTATATGCATTTTAAGTATATTTCTTTTTCTGTGTAATTGTAGAATGTGCAATACCAGATTTAATTTTTGCCATGTTTTAGCATGTAAAAAAAAGTTTAATATATAAAGTTTGTTATGTAAAAAAAATTCATGTTTAAGTCTACTTACTAGTGCTTGGTAATTTGGTTAACATTATCATATTTAATAGGCAATCCGCTAGTCATCTGGATAAAAAATTTTTTTTTATATATAAATTTTACTATAAGTGCGAATGCACAGCGCTTCTATCTAAAACTTTTTTTTATACTAAGTA